AGGGAAAGAACTGACATTACTGGCATTTAACATTTTTGTTGTTGTTGTTCTGTAATCCACTTACTGAGATTCATCATTGTCAGCTCTCCGGGATAAGGGTAGTGAAGCCTTTCTGCAAAGTCCCGACAATACCACACAAGAAGTTCCTGGTTGGCAGGGATGGGCTTAATGGTGTAGAAGTAGATGTTCATCCCGTTCTGACACGCAGCCAGGTTTTGCTCCCGGGCAGAGTGCGCTGGATTCACATAGCGCATCCAGTTGCTTTTCTCCTCATTAAAGCCATCAATGAAGTGGTGAAGCTCCCCTCTGGAATAAATCTGTCCAAAAGAGAAGACGGACGTGTCAAAGAAAGTCAGCCCCAGAGCCAAGGAAAGCTTCCCTGGCACCTCTCAGAATAAACAAAGCAAGTAGTGTGTGTGGTTCTGATCCCTCATTGTCTAGGTAGAAAGAGAATCACATCGGTTTAGTCTGAGCAGGCTTGAATCAGCAGAATTCAGGATGGAAACAGGTAAGGCACATTTTGTCAGTTACCTTTTCCATTTCAGTTTTCTTGTCTTTTCATGTTCAGGAAAAGTTAACAGAAGAATGAAACGCAAAATTTCATTTAAGGAGCTGCCTCAACCTTACTAAACCACCACGGACTACTACTTTTGCTACAGCAATGAATGGCAAATGGGCGATGCTACTAACCCCAGTTCCGATTATGCTGACTTTTAATGCTTTGAGTCACTGGGTAAAAGACCAAGCCAGCTGACTACGTCAAACTGAGTCTCTACTTTTTCTATGGCCTCTGTACTTGCCGTTTCCTACACCCCCGCCCAAGGCTTAGACTATGCAAACATCCTCCACCCCAACCCTCCAAGTCCTAAAGTAACGCTTGTTCATATGAATACTTGGAACCTTGCCTTTTTGTGGAAACACTGGGTGGGGCAAAGGTGAACTTCACCTGCCGTAACAAAGTGAACCCCTGGATAGAAGCCAGCATTTGACAGTCTACTGAGAAGTCGCTTTTGCTCCTGATAAACATGTTCAGTCTTGTGCTTCTCTTTCAAGCCAAAGAAGGGAGGAGAGAACCCCCTTATCTGGGAGGAGGTTGGCTAAAACACCACGTGCAGAGAGCCACAGGCGTGCATTTTTGGAAAAAGAACCGGAAGAAGGTATGTCATTCTTTAAAGGCGACACATGAAGAATTCCGAGTTTGTCCTAGAGTGATACTACCTCTAGGACACTCGGACGCAGCCAGCCCACTTGATTTTTGCAGAGGTGAGAATAGGAATCCTGACACTACTTTATAAACCAACTTCTTAACTTTCCACAGAAAGCCCCCCCCCCTCAACCCTTTTCAAGAGATAACACCTTTCCTGCAGATGTAAGACATTTCCTTATACATAGATAATCAATACCTGGTTATCCGCAACTTGTAGTCTCCAAGCAGTAGGGCTGTTCATAGCAAAACCTTTGCTCTAACAGGACACAGGTGGTTGCTTTATTGTCAGTCACCTACTGACTATGTTAGTCTACACGCTGTTTCTGTATTTCGCTCAAACGTTATCAGAAATAAAAAGGAACTCTGTCCCTTTAACACAGGCAGTAAACACCAGAATCACTTTCTTTTAAGAGTAACTTCCTGTAAATTGTGAAGGGGGAAATACATGTGGCTTCATCAAAGCAGCTTGTGAGAGCTTTTGCGGTGTGTTTTGTTAAGAGAAAATGGAACAAGGCTGGGTGAATTCTGCTATCAAGAGGGGTTTTCAAGTTTGTTTACTCTGATGTGCAAACTTCCAGGAACATGGGGTTCCATCGCTCTTGCACTCTTTGCTGGGGCGGAAACTGCTTTCTAAAGCTACGGGTATGCTGATTCCAGTCAGCCCTCCACAGACTACAGTTTACTGTATCCTCATTGAAAAACAGAAATGTCGGTGCCATGAAGTCACACACACACTCCCACAAGAAAACAGAATAGCGCAGATGTAGAATGAACACTGCTCCCTATCACCCTCACTGCATTTCCATACAGTATCAAGAAGATTGAAAACGTGCTGACTCATAGTACAGTTACAAGAAATGTCACTGGTTTCTCAACTTGAACATCCCTTCTCTTCCTGGTGTAATTTGCATGAAACTTTTTCTTTCCTCGCAACAGATGTTCATATTCCTGCCAGCAAAATCAGGATGCTTTTAACAACATGTGGTAAGTTATCTCCTACAATATCCTTTGCATGTGAAAGACTGATTCAAATAAATCCTCCCAAGGAACAATCTTCCAGTTATTTATAGCAAATCTGTAAATGAAACAGGGAACTGGGACAGTGATGGGAGATTCTTAGGTGTTTCCTGACTTTTTATAAAATGACCACACATCAATGAGACAAGCTGGACTGTCTTTTTTTTCGAGAGAGAGGTTTTTCCTGCAAGGCGTTTGCACTCACCAGAAATACAGAGATAGACAGAAAGTGAGAAGTCAGCCCCCAGGGGGGATGGCCACGCCGCAATCCCTTCTCTTTCATTCTCCTCTCAGTATCTTGGGCACGCACACACATGTGCCCGGCGTGAGTTTAAGCCACCAAGTCCGAGACTCGAACCGTGGTTGACTACATGGGAGTCCAGTAACATAGCCATTAGGCCATCTGCTGGTCCGGCTGGACTGTCTTGATTCAAATCTTTGACCTGAAGATTTATACACCTCTATAGCTCACTTCTGAGAAGAATTTATCAGCAATAAAGGCAAAGATGCACTCACATTTTCCTCATTACAATTCACATAGTCAATCTATTTTAAGTATGAGTAATTATTAAAATTATTAAAAATAGTAAGCTCACAATTCTTAGACAATCTATAACTACTCACTTTTGCTTGGGAAATAGTAAAAGAAAGTTCTAAAAACATAAAACTTCCTGCACTAAACAATAAAATAAAATAAAATAATTTCTTTCTTCTTTTTCCCCCCCAAATTGTTTCTTATGAATAGCTTCTGAGTGATCTTCTAACAGAAGTCTTTTATGTTCTGGCCCAAAAGATGTACATGTTCTAGGCCAAAATACCAGCCAAAGTAAGCATAATCCAAGTGTTACCATGCAGCCATTTCTTAAAAGAATTCAAATAATGAACATCTTATGTAAGTATACATAAAAAATACTTACTAAATTTAAATAAGTATATCTTTATTTTCTAATTGAGGAAACCGAATATTCCACAGGCATCTATGGAAGGAGGGAAAACATTCTGACTCTTTTCACTCCTCATTCCAGGTCTTTTACTCAAGAATTCCACCTGATTAGTTCATTTCTGGGATCTTTTCTTTCTTTCTTCCTTTTTTTTTTTTTTTTTTTTTTTGAGTTTTGTTGTTGTTGTTGTTATAGGGCACATAAGCTCACCAGAAAGACAGAGAGAGACATAGAGACAGAAAGCGAGAAATCACCCCCCAGGGGGGATGGTCACGCCGCAATCCCTTCT